CATTTTTCCTGATGGCGTTCTGATGATCACGTTCTGATTATCTGAAAATGGCAGTCGTTTATCCTTCTCCGTCTCTATTATGAACTTGATGCCATTGAATATGTTATTGATGATATTGTGTATTCTTTCCAGTTCCGATTTCTTCAAGGGGCAAAAATGGTCGGTGGAGNTAAACAAACGAATACAAGCAGAAGACTGCCATTTAACAAGCACTGGTGATGAAACGTTTGCAAAAAAATTGCCAAGCTCGGCTAACAGGAGAAATAGAATTCAGTTCACCCGAGCTACGAGAAGCGATTTGTAATACTTTGCAAACAATAAATCTCATTATTAGTGCTTTCTCATCTTATTACATCAAAGAGGATGAGTCACAAGCAATGAGAAAACGTATAGCTGAAACTTAGATCAAATTAGTGTTGACCTCCGTTCCATTAAAAGGAACGTCTTTCAATATTTTCTCAAAACAACAAGAATAAAAACCGATATTTCATTGGAAAACCAATCACAACCAGCCACATGAAGTTTCAAAGAACGGTGAAGCGGTTTGGAGATGTTTGAGTTCATTTAAATGATCATTTCAATTATTCTGTCACCCTTCTACTCCTCGCAAGGACACAATCCAGACAAGTCTATCGCTTGCACTTCGTACAATTTATTGTTCAACGTGAAATGGAAGTAAGCTTCACATCCATTTTTCATCAACCATTATTAAGGTCTCTATCCACGTATTGATTGACTTCCAACAAACACTTGAGTTCCTTTCTCAGCAACTGTGTAAATAGTAAGTTCTCAGAGTGCAAATATCCGTCCTCCCCCCCGCCTCCCCCATCTGACCGCAATCGGGAATAGAAGAATAGAAGATATCACATGCCTTTCTACCCGCATGAGTTGATTGGTGCGCTCAACTATACATTCACACAGACTGACTGCCATGGATGACACACGTGCAAAGCCCATTGCATCGCACAGCGGTACTCGCAGCTTTTAAAGTTGTTTTTGTATTTGGCGTTACGAAATACAGTCTGCGCACACATTGGAAATTACAGGTAATAGTATCCGCATCCATTCAGTATTCACTCAGTCCTCGCTCCGAATCTGTACGAACTTGAGGGATAATCACAAGTATTGGTATTAAGTTATCAAATACTGAGAATATTTGAACTAACAGTGATAAAAGTAACGACGGTATTGATAACATATGAAAACAGTGCCGAAATTAAAAATCTTTTTTGTGAGTCATGCAAGTCAACAAAAGCGATATGATGGAGAACTAGTTGGACCTTTTTCGGTACATGCTACTGCAAAAATGGAATACCAATATTTGTATCGCACTTACCAGCGGTGACCGTAAAATTTGAAATAACTTCGGGCATTACACGAACGTTAGCTAAAAGTAAAGAAAAATCAATCCTATTGAGAGACTGGTTTGTGCACATTGATAAATATTATTAGGCGAAGTCATCTATGCATTACATTTGAAGACAGTCAATTAGAAGATTCAACAGCATATTTCCCGTGAAGTCACGATTGCCTAAAAGTTTAGGTTTTACAACTGCGGAACTTTCTGCTTCAGGAACACGTTTGTCCAGTCTCATAAGAGAACAGCAATTTGATTGGCTGAACCAGTAATCACACCTCGCTTAATGGAATCTGGTCATATGGGCAATGTGAGTGAGATATGCTCTCTCCGGTTTGCATCATCGATGGTAGATGAAGACAATAGATCAGACATTACCAATATGATAGCACTCTCAGTAATCTCCGTTTATGGGTTCAGAAACAGTGTGCTATAAGGCCTTATGTATTTTGGACCGGGGTATACCACCCAACATATATTCAATCTCATACATCCAGCTCCCTTTAGGAAGTTCATACGAGCGAGTACAAGCATCATCACAGGAAATGGTCGAATCCAACTGTTCCACGTTATCTCTTCAGCTGTATACATGCATTCCTTTGAAAGTTCGACCAGGACAATGACAAATATTTAAACATCGAAAAACCCTCGACTAGGCAAAATCAGTGCGAAGATCAAAGATCACCTGTCACAGTCGGGTTGAACAGCCGGATGGTGTGGGAGAACATGTTTATCAATCGGAATCGAGGTAATAGCCCTACTATGGGAGTGAGGCTGGCCACTAAGTCCTATTTTTTCAGAGGTCTGGTTTGTGACGCCCAATGGTTATGGCTACAGAAAACCGTTATAACCTCCCAGTTTTCTGTTGGTTTAGCACTCGGAATACTTGCTTTGGATTGATGCAAAATTTGCAATCCAATATTTGGCGGGCAATAGAGCTGGATGTGATCCTCGAGCCGTTGAGCGCTAACTTTCACGGAAAATGTTCTGAAATCCGAGTGGCCAAGCGTCTCTCAGTTCTTCCGATATAGTTGCTACCGCAAGATAACTTGAGAGTTCAACTTGTCCAAGTTCCTTTTCTGGAGAATAATTAGCAAAGCGGCGTTGTACGTTCTTGAAAAAGCTTGTTTCAACCGACGCTTTGATAGTTTCTCAGTCGGATCACCTTTAAAAGGCAATGTGATGAGAACGCTTTTCTTTGGTACGTTGTTTCTCCTAGTTCTGGTCTCTATGTTGTTGTCATACTTTGTAATGAAGTCCCACGGATATCCGTTATCCTGCAATGCACAGGATGTCTGTTCAATATCATTTTCAAATGTTTCCGCAGTAGAAATTTGTTTCGCTCTAGAAAACAAGCCCTTCACTAGGGCTCACTTTTGTTCTATTGGACAGAAGCTTCTG